GTTCCAGCAAGACTACGACAGAAAGAAATGTACTGCAACTGATGGGACATGATTTCTGGTCGCACCATGCCAGAACATAGGGGAGTATCGAAATATTTTTTTGCGCAAGAGAGAAGAGACAGCAGTGCATCGGGACGTGGGGTTGCGGGAAAAAGCTCCGGGCGAAAGAAGGCGCCCGAAAGGGAACCCGATGAAAACGGGTGCAGAGTCAACGTGGCCCCAAAAAAGAAAGCTGTCCTAGAGAAAAGAGGTGGTCCTCAAAGGTCAAGAATGTCCTACACCAGCTTTGTTTCCAACCCCCTTTACGCAAAGGATGCCGTTCAATGTCAGTAATGTTCGTGTCCAACCGGCCGGAGTATACAACAACAACAAACAACACCAGCAAGAGGGCTTCTTCAAGACACCAAAATAAAATAAAAACGCACCTGTCCAATGGAGACCCGCGCGGTCGTGCCCTGCGGCTTTCCGTACGCGTGGCGCATACCGGTCTGTCGCCATCGAAGTCAGCCAGAACAAGGGATCGATTTCCCAGCGCCGAGACGGGGCAGGCAGGAGCGCGGGCACCGATATAAGCGGAGAGAGGGGAACATGAGTCACGCAATAGGGTTGAGACAAGGTGTATGTCGACGAAATGAATTGCAACATATGCAAATCTACGGATGTGGCGGGGTGGTGATGCAGAGGCCGGGACGGCCTTTAATGCGAAGGTAACAACAAACTACTATATGCTGCGAAGAATGCAGCCTGTCGTCGATGCCGTATTTGGCACATAACAGCCGAAAGTTCGATCACCTGTCGCACACACACCGGAGGCCATTCTTTGCACGGCGGAATTTGAGGAGTATTGACCGAATCGGAACAATGATTTCCTCCATATAGCAATAACTCCTTCACTGCCGCAGTTTTCAGAAAGGTCTCATTTTGCATAACCAAAGACCGTGCCACCCCACCTGCGACGACCCTATAGATTATGCAACTCGTGGTGTGGCCAGTTGTGCCCGCTTCATGTCCGACAGCATCCAACACACGGCCCGGGGAGGGGGGGTGGGGGGAATGAAAACGGACCAATCCCCTTCGACTACATGTAGTCACATTTCGAACGGTGAGTATTTGTGATTGTACATGTGGAAAACAGCAAGGGACACAGCGACAACCTCTTCAACGACAAGTAGACTCCAACCTGTCTATAAATAGAAAACGAAGTTTCCACAACAAGGAAAAACGACGCACCTGAAGCCTATCAGCACCGGCGCACGAAAGCATCTTGTTGATGCGGAGCACGTGGAAAGGGTGGGCGCGGATGCGCATGTGGAAGTTGTCCTTTCCGGCAAACTTGGCCATGTACTTGTTCGCCGACACTCGGGCGGCCTCGAGAGCCTCCGAGGTCAGCTGCTCCTTCTCGTCAGAGACCTGCGGCCGAGGGGAGAACGAGTTCGCAAATTCAGATCTGGGTCACCAGCTCTTCATTCATAGTATGCCTCTCGGGCAGAGAACTCTCTTAGGTTGTATGAGACACACGAAGGATCAGTGTAAACGAGTCAGCTACTCCTTGTCGGAGACCTGTTGCCGAAGGGGGGAGGAATCGGCACACTAAGTCAGAACGGGGCGACCAGCTAACGTGTGTGCTGCTGGTACTGCTTTTCGGCTAACGTGCGTAGTGCTTCTCGGATATGCATTGGGTTCGCTCGGCTGCATGGCACAGAGCAAGGACCGGCGGAGAGCGATCCACAGGAAAATCTCGTGAGAGGCACACGGAGGGGAAAATTGGCACACAAATTTGGTCCCCACTAATGTGGATACTGGTGTTCTGTTTCACTACCGTAGTCTCTCTATTGAAAATATCCTTCTCTGACATACGCTATTTTGTTGCCAATAGCGCACTGGAAGGACCAGCGGAGAGGCGTCAGTTGTTTCGTCACGTGACACGCGATACTACGAGGAAATTTCGGGTCGTCTCCGCTTTTGTTCACGCCACGGTCGGGAAAAGGGACCGCTTGCGCAGGACTTTTTAGACTATCCAGAAAAATAATAGGGAGGGGGCTCGCAGAACCTATCCCTTACCTGAACAACCCGAACCCCAAAGCACGGATTGAAAACCTTATCCCATATGTTTGGTTATCAATTTTGCTGCGTAGACTACAGCAACGGCAAAAAACAACCGCAGTGTATCGCCGGGCGGGACAAGTGGGCCAACGAGAGACCACGGCCAAGGACTCCTCAGCTTCGCCTCTTCATTCCGACACGCAGTTCTTGTTGCTTTCGGGTGCGAGAAAGAGAAACAATATATACAGCAGTGACGATTGAGAGGCCGCGCTCGGTCGTCCGAGTGTACGAGAACCGACGTACACGCACCGCGAATTTGTGACCATTTCGATTTGGGAGAACTATCCCTCATGGCAGGGAATCACCAAACAACGTACAAGTTTGTGTCTAAAACGAGAGTGAGAGAGAGAGAGAGAAGTGGGGTTGTCAATTTTCCGTAGCCTTCATAACCTCGCTCCGGCGTCAACCTACTACTGTATGCTGCTCTTGCTGATTGCGGGGTCGCCACGGACGATACTTCGCACCCGCCAAAAATTCAGGTCTGCACCGACGCATGTATAGAAAGCAGTGTACGGCCTAGAGACAATTCCTCCATGCAGCTCGGTTTGCCCGATTTCAACACGCGAAGACCATCGGACCAGACGCAGGGCGTATTCGCTCAATGACTCGAAAGACACAACGCTCTCGGGAAGGTTGGATTGGATGGGGAGCTGGCTCTTCAAACACCAAAGTCAGCTGCGTGGAACCTGTTACCGTTGTGGACTGCGTTTCCGCCAAGCCGGCGTGTTACGACAGACGTGCTGACTCGAACACAAACACGGGGAGTACACACACTTCCTGGAATCGCGGCACACATCCACAGGGTTCAACTCCTATGATTTGCATTATGAGTAAAATGGCTGTACAAGTGACAATTATGTCAATATCACACACCCCATGAACCGATTTCGAACGTTCGACTACAGTGCACTCCACAACAGAAAGAGTGGCAGTGCCGGTTATTCGAGGCACTGGAACTCGGTCGTCGAGAGCAAAACTATCGTTTGATCTACACATCCTCTTCGGTCTGGAGAAATCGAGCTACTTTAACCAACCGGTCCAGGGGGCGTGGTATCTTCCGCAACTACTGCGTGCACTCGTACTCACCAAGTGGACGACCATCGGGAAGTCATCGACCGACGCCTTCTTGTTTCCGACTTCGTAGATGCGAATCTTCGGGTCGGGAACACCGCGGCAGTACCGCGATTTGATGAACGGCTTGTTCTTTTGGAAGCGGTAGCAACGAGCCGGTCCTGTTTTTCGTGGGGCACACGTGTGCAAGTCCATCCATCCAGCCCATCAGCAGCAGCCCCGGACAGAGATTCCAGCCAGCCCACAGACCGCCACCAGAACGTCAAAGTAGTGGGCAAGCGAAACAAAAACGGAGTGGTTGGTTAGAGAGCGCAAGCAGGGGTTAGCAGCGGCACCTCGGGCGTCGGGTTGGTGGTCAATTGGTCATGGACATCAGCCAGCGGCCTATCCAAGGTGCTGGTGAAAGCTAGCTGCTGTTGTTGCGGGGAGTGTTTCCCCTGCTCTTGAGCAAACTCGCCGTCCGCCACAGCATCCTCACCACCAACAACGCACGACCGAAACTACCAATGAGCATAGCGCAAAGCCTTGCCACACGTAGGACTTGGCTCTGGCCGGTGCTGCTTGGCTCAACGCAGGCTACGGCGGCAACAACCACAACAGGCCTTGTGTTAGACTTTCAGTCAAATCCCAGCCAGCCAGCCACAGCTCTCTCGTACTGCTGTCCCTTCCGCCGCAAAAAAACACGATCTCGAGTTTCAACCAGGCACTTCACTCCGCCAGCTACCGCAAGCAACGCACGAGAGCACCAGCAACGTGGTGACTTCGGTCTAAGGCCTACGCCACTCACGGCGCCCCATGTTGACGAGGGTTTTGGAGAGTCCTGCCCGAGAAGCCCTTGTGAGCGAGAGGTACCACAGGTACGGGAAACCACAGGCTGATAGCGGAGGGTTGATAAATTTTGTTGGTGATAGTGGTGCAAATTACAACAAATATATCAAAGTTCTAGAAAAAAAAAAAATCGCGGGAGGTTTTTAAAATTGAAACACCCGCAACATGCGCCTTCCAGAGCTTTTCTCGTCGCTTGGTGTTGACGGTTGGCTTCTGGATGTATTCTGACGATTAACTAGAGCACACAAGATTTCGTCCATACGACGCTCAAGAGTTGTACTCTCTTCGCAGTCGGTCAAAGTAGAACAACGTGTTACAAAAAAATGAACGTGTCGGTGTGTGTGCTCTCTGACGAGGTCTGCCCGTAGATCCTTGTTGATCTACTGCTGTAGAACTTATTGCGAGCTCTCAGTGAGAACGAGACTCTGCTAGGCAGTAGCATAGCTATCGTGGTTTACTTGCATTTAGATCCTTGTTGATCTACTGTAGAACTTATTGCGAGCTCTCAGTGAGAACGAGACTCTGCTAGGCAGTAGCATAGCTATCGTGGTTTACTTGCATTTAGATCCTTGTTGATCTACTGTAGAACTTATTGCGAGCTCTCAGTGAGAACGAGACTCTGCTAGGCAGTAGCATAGCTATCGTGGTTTACTTGCATTCACTATTGTAGTCTATGCATACAACAATACGCTGCGAGTGGAAAAGGGAGCGGACACGCGTAGGGGTACCTTCCGCGCCACAACCAAAGATGTAACTGCGTACCATGCCCATCCAAGCCCCATCCACGTTGAAGATCACCACATGATCGTATTCGAACACTACAGCAGTGTCTCACAGCTGCTCATAGATGTAGGCTTGGACGCTTGGTGTGTGGTGGTCACAACCGACGTGTTTTGCGCGTCAAGACGAGAGCTACAAGAGCCATGAGAACGAAGACGCTGGTCCGAACAGTAACTGCTGTTGTGACAGAGAGCGAGGTGGAGAGAGCATGAACGGATACATACAAGAAGCATGCGTCTGGTGCGTGCGAAACAGTTGGAACGATTTTCACATGCGAGTTTCAGGGAATGTTCAAACCTAGACGTCGGATATTCACGTGGATGCTCCAGCTTTCAATGAAAAAAATGAACGCGAAAGCTTCAAAAAAAATATCGACCCCGGAAACCAATCACGCGGGGTGACACGTCTGTCTGTGACCAACCACGTAACAACGAACCCCATGAACGACAGAACTCCAGCACATCGTCGTGAGAAAAGATTTATCCTCCTCTTAGGAGAGATTACCCTAAGCGAAAGCCACATTCCCTGCAATGTATCTCAGCCCTGAGCTTTAACTGGTACTGACGTCCGGTGAACGCCGACTCGAATTGCAGCTCCGCGAATGGCTCATATTTGTCTCTCAAGCAAAACCATAGAATCTCGCAAAACATCTGTCTCATCTAGCGGCTGCCAGCCGCAGAACAAGTGCGCTGTGGCAGATAGCGCTGCAGGAGTAGACACAAGAGATTCCTCTGCAGCGAAGTCATTACTGCAAAATCCTCCACTTCAAAAGAGGTGCCGCGCCCGGCTTCCGTACGCTATTATGTCGCGTTTCTGTTTCGCATCACCCCCTCACCCGCCTTTTCATCCCGCCTTTTCATTCCATCGTCACCCCGTCCCCTTTTAGCAAAAAACGCATACGTCCACGAGTATACAAACCCGAGGCGCACAACAAACCTCGTTCGCTTGTCCTCCAAGCGAATAAAGATGGTAGCAACAACGGACACGTGGTCATTCATTCCGATCCATTTGGCGGATGGCCTCCGAGAATCGTCGCCTAGGTTAGTCCATAAAAAACTGCTCGGAAGAAAGGATGCGATATACCACCCCGAGTGTGCTGTCGTTCAACCTATCGCTTTCTAGTACACGCGCTTAGTCGCCAGGTCAACCAGAACCTGACCGGCCTTGGACATCCTTCCCTCCTCCGGCCTAGACATATCCACCTCCACTTCCATCGGGACCCCCTTGAGCTGTGCGGAGGAGACACGCCGGGAGGGGGACGGGTTCAAAGGTCACACGGCGTGGGTGGCATCAAGCACTTGCCGGTAAAAGGCAAGCAGGAGGGAGAGACAGTCTGTCAGGATACCGTGAAGCGTCCTTGTCTCTTGACAACAGAAAAAGGGAGACCGCGTGATAAGTCTTGGTTCGCATGTACACGGGAGCGAATGGGTGCTGATACAGCGTCCACCAAATCCTTGCGACAGGCCTTGGCAAAAACGTGGCACAACCCTTCGAGCGAGCTGGGCAGCTGTAGGCCAAACATATCGTATACCACCACCATCACCACCACAAATAACAACCAGAACACGATCACAAAGAAAACCCGGTGCTACTACGTAGGGCTCGCATACCTCCGCCAAGACTTCGTCCGGAATTCCGAGAGGGTAGCACGCCTCCAGCGGGGGCGGCGGGTTGCGCATGAAACTGCTACCGGACGGCATGTATGGCCGGATGTATCTGAGAGACGGGGCGAAACACACCACAGGAAACGACAAAAACGCAGACAAGCATGCGTGCTTCAAGAGGTTGTCGAAGTCGTTTGGCGTGGCAAGATGCCACTGAGGGGATTGGAGGGCAGCATAACGACGAGAGTGCGCACGCACAGAACGGGGCCCGACCGTGAGCACACGCGTGTTACGGTCGGACTGGGTGTACGTGGGACAGATGTGGACACCGGTTGTTCACCATGCACTGTGGAGTGCAGATTACGGCCGGAGGCAAGCCTGCCTGCCCTCTGAAGGCATAGCCTTCAGGAACAACTCTGGTGCACGCCGCTCGAGCGCACATCAGCAGCACAGCAACAATGCCCTGAAGACTAAATGAAATATAAACATAATTTCGGGCAGGCTCAAAAGTTGAACCATTGGTACAAACCCGGGACCACGCTGGAGAACGCAAACAGCGGTGTGGCGCCTGTAATTGAACCTAACAATACAAAGCAAAAAACCGGTACCCGGTACATACTACCAACGTGCCAAGCTTCAGCAATAATGCTCACACGGCGTCCCCTGAAACAACAGAACCAAGCCAGCGAACAATGCTGCAGTATCGACAAGGTATCCGAAAACAGGTGTAGTCTGGGAGGGAGTAAGACCTTACGGTGGACGGTCACCTGTCGACGTGAACGTGTTCGTCAATCATCTTGTAGGCTCCTCGCATGAGAGCCTTGGCCCGGGCGCTGTCTGGTCCGCACTTGGACCCTTCATCGAACTGGCCTCAACGGACGAAGGAGCACAAAAACGCCAGCACGTTCGCTATCACAATTCACCACGAAAAAGTGCTTCGAAGGGCTACGTTGGATCTGCCGCATTTCGTCTCATGTGCTACTGGAAGTACTACCATGCAACAACAACGACGGGTTATTGATAGCCGAGGAACCCTCTCTGCCAAAGCAAAGCCAACAGCGGTTACAGCGTCCGGCCGGCAGCACCAAACGAGAAAAACCAAACATCGGGGACAGCGAGCGTGTTGGATAGCCAAACCACGCCAATCCCCAAAGGAAAAGCGGTTGCGTGCGCTGTCGAGGTCGTACCTATCCCCTACAGCCCAAGCTCTGTTTCGTTGACAGCAAGAAACCATGAAACAAACGTAAAGAAAGGCGCCTTCCAAAAGGGTCGATCACTAGTCTGCAGCATGTGGTACAACACTTTGATGACATAGTGGTAGTTTTAGTTTGCTCAAGGCGCGGATGACATGCTTTAAGAAGCAAACTCCGAACGGCAGCAGCGCTAGAAGTGGCGCCAAGCGCAAGCTCCGAACTGAGATTAAGACTGTCGACATTACTTTCGGCGCAGCATGCACTCGGGATCAACAAAAACAAAAACACCGAAATGCACTTTGCATGTGCCCAGAGAAATCTACGAGTTGAGCATAAACGGATACTAAACGCGGCTTGCACGCAACGATAGCTTGCGAAGAGGACAAACTAAGAGACAGCAAAACAACATCTTGTTAGTTCGACAACCAGGTAAGGTTGAGAACACCACTCGAAAATAATCAAAGAGTTTCACGGCCTCATCGGGGTGTAGTTTTCAAAGTCGGGGAAAATCGGCCAAAGTGCAACGAACCAGCCTCGACGTAAGCCACAAACAACACCTACCGATGCCCGGATTTTGGTGGCCTCCTCTAGAAAAACGGTCCTGTCGATCGCCCACGAATCGAGCAGCTTCAACGAGGCCCGGTACAGGCGGCAAACTTCCTGGAACGGACAGGTGCAACAAGAAAGCCGACGAGACAACCATCCACGATAACAGGGCGCGACCAATCAGCTGTGAGGCACAATAAACACGCTTACACCACCAGGCAGATGATGCAGGCACGTTGCGGCATATTGAACTCATACGCAACAGACGAGGCCAAACCAAACAGACAGAAAGCTTACGGACCACGAAAACACGTCTCAACAAAGACCGGAACGCCGGTTGTTGTCGGCCACGGAAATGGAACACCACAGACGCGTACTTTCTTGGTCCTGAAGCGGAGTGGACGGTTGTTGTCGGCCACGGAAATGGAACACCACAGACGCGTACTTTTTTGGTCCTGAAGCGGACTGGATGGAGAAAATTGCGTGCATATACTCACTCCCTTTATCAAAGCTGTATAGACCATTTTGTGGGTGCGTATCTCTTTTAACTGCTCCGTTGCAGGGCACGACGTTTGTTTCCGTCGGCATACGGTGCCGTGAGTCAAGCTCATCCTCGCTCCCTCCATAATGGAATGAATCGAACGTTACTTTGCTGTCTATCGAGCAAATAGACAGACGGTACAGCAGGGCAAAACCAAAGATTATGTAGGAAACCAAGCCGTCCATGTGCCGTGAGTCTGGCATATGGTCATCTGTCGCGTTCTGCCCGCTCCGGCTGCACAGGTAGCTTCATCAAGGGACCCATCGTACTGATGATTTCGGTCCATTAAATAGTGCGAAAAACCTCCTGCAAGTTTAAAACACGCAGGACGCAAAAGAAGAGGATTTCCGCAGCGCAAAATTGGTAAACAACCACGAAAGCCGCCCCCCTTTCTCCGCTTCCGGCGCCGTTCGAGTCACCGGTGATGCAGCGATCAGGACGCCCATCCAGCTGCGGCTGAGGGAGGACAAGGTCCTCGGGGGCGACATGGCAAGCCTCGATGTTCTTCTCATGACATTGAATCACGAACTGCACGTCGCCGTCCATCGCGAACGCGCCCCGACTTCTTCACAGAACATCGTGCTCGTTCTGCAGGAGGTTGAACGACATCGGGTCGTAGTCTTTGAACGGTGACACGGGGTCGCTGTTGTCACGGTTGTAAGACTACCACCTAAATGTCCTTCAACTTCCCAACGGAGCGAGCACGACATTTTTCTCGGGAAAATTCGGGCGCGTTCGCGATGGACGGCGACGTGGAACACTTGTCGAACACAAGCATGGGAATCACACCCCGGCTTGGCCATGTCACCTCTGAGAACCCTGTCCCCCTCAGCTCCATGGGCGTCCCGGTCGCTGCAACGCCAGCGGTGGATCGAACAGTGGCGGAGGTGGCAGCAGCGGTATCGGTGCGGGCGCCGGGAGCGGGGGCGGCAACAGCAGCGGCGCCGACCGTAGCTCCAGTGTTGGGGAGGCATCGGTGGCTTCAACGGTGGCTACGGCAAAAGCTGCGGCATCGGCGACGGTAGTATTGGCGGTCTGGAGCGCGGGTGATGACGGGGGAGGAGGCGGCGGCGGCGACACCGATCGCAACGGCGATGGCGCTCAGCCTTAGGTTCTTGCTTGGGCCGAAGGTTGAGCGTGGTCGCCGAAGGGATGTTCGAAGGAGGTGGGGCGCTTGGCCCTGTTGCTATCATACAGCAGCAACAAATTGCGAAACAAGTCTCAGCCCGACTTATCTTGAAACGACTGTTTACTCTTGCGAGAGAGACTGAACACATTCAACTGTCCTCATTCAATCTCCGACAACCTAATTTGCGCATCACATGCTAGACTCGGCTGGGCTTGAGTTGTACAGCGCGTGTCGAGACACTGCGTTCAATAGTTAAGGAGAGAAGAGAGGGAGAGAAGGGGGGGGTGGGACGGAGGGACAATAGCAGTGTAGCACCTATGTTTTCAACCTTGAACGCACAGCAAGGCTTCTTCATCGTTACACCGGGGCTACACGAGGTTAGCACGTTAGCACAGCTCATGTTTCGCAGTGCGCGGTCTGTGTGCGGGGTCTGCCTGCACCTCCTGACCTGCTTGTGTGTGATGGGGTGCTGCTTGGAAATAAACTGCGCCGCCGCGCCGCGGAACGTCGAGTTCATTTGTGCATTCATGGCTGCGCCTTTCCTTCTTAGCCCGCTGCTGCAGCAACCTGCTCCTGATTAAAAGTTGTGGGCGTGCATGCAAAGGACGAGCGAGAGAACGCAGGCGGGCATGCATATGGAAGTACTGCTGTGCAGCGGTACACAGCGCAGAGCACTGAGACGGACGTGTGGTGGGGTCGCACGAAACACGTGTACGCCGGTGTGTTCGAGAGAGAGAGGGCGAGCGGTAGCGTCTCGTTGCGCAACGTGAATGCAAAGTGGACTACCGAGAGCGTGGTGTTGACTTTACTCTGCTGTCTGAGAAGCATACCGAAGGAAAAAAAGACGCACGCGCATCGGAAAGGGCCTCTCCGATAGCGAGGAGAGATAATGCATCGAAGACGAACACAAGACGCCAACATGTTCGACAGGCAAAGCAAGAAAAGGGACGCCTAGTACACTCCACACACCCAGCAACATTGTCGTATCTCTCTCACACACCCTCTCACCTGACCTCCCGGACACGGTGTGGTCCTGTGTCTGCCTGCCTGCTGGGTCTGGGGTGTGCTGTGTTGCCGCGGCTACGCGATATCGAAATGCACGAACTTCATCCACCCTAGTGCATCTTAGTTGCGTGCCCCCCTGCCCCGCTTCTCCGCGCGCTCCTCTCTCCTTGCTGTCTCCAGCACACATCCCGCGCCTCATCTCTCTCTCTCTCTCCCTCACTCTCTTCACGGCCAGCGCACCTCAGACGTCCCATCTCTCTCCGAAACATTGATCCGCGAGAGGTGAAACACCTAGCGCCCCCTAGGCATATCGCTCGCAGCATGTCTCCCTACCGAGCGATGCTCTGTGTGGTCGCGGCCCTCGTGCTTTCATGCACCTCTACATCGGCGTTCGTCGCTCCTACCTCGGCGCGGGCAGCAACAGCAGTCAACCAAAGGTGAGGACGAGCATTGCTTGTGCGTTTGAGTGTGAGATTGACAGGAGTAGATCTATGCGTGCACCCCGCGGGCGTTGGGACAAATGAGCTGTCTGTCTGGCTCTCTTCTCTGGGGTAGGAAGAACGCCGATGATTCCTACAACCGCCGTGCTATCCTCATTGGGGTGCGATAGACGACGACGTGGCATGAATGGAATGCAGGAGCGCGTGCGATGTTTGCCGTGCCTGCGTTGATCGGGAATGCCGCGTGGTTCGGCTGCACCTTCACCATTTTGGCTCATTAGCCTCCCTTTGGAACTCATTGTAATCTCGTTCTCATGTTTCGACGTTTTGACGTTGAACATGAACCGGTCGTAAGCACCAGGCTTTTTGAACACAACATATCCTCTAGATCATGCAAGAGTACGGGTGTTGAACATCCTGCAACTCCCCTTTTCCCAACTGAATGCATCTCCAGCGAAAGACAAACCGTACACTTTTGTGGTGCACCCGGGTTCTGATGGTCTCTTTCCGGTGCAAATTCTTTGCCGTTCCACCACGTCCAATCTCCATGAGAAAAAAAAAAAAACACGAGGACACGTGGTCGCAACTGCTTCTGTAGATGGACCCGCCGCGTACCAACCGGACCATGCCTCCCACAGCGGTGGTGGAATACACACACGGACTAGTTGGGTTTGTGCTGCCGCTGTTCAGAAGATATTTTCTGGTAAGCGATCTTCAAGACGGACATCCCACTCGAGACAGCTCTCGGAGAAACACGTCGCCGAACAGCATACCATGATCAGTGTGGCCCCTGTTTCTCCTCTCACGCCCGTGTGTCCTATTTAGTCGTAGCGGTGGGTATCCGTCTGTAACTTCTTGCTGTCCAGAACAACGTTGGCACGCGCTCACGTCCTGCTGAAAGTAAAACGATACATCAGGAGATGTCGTGGTCACATTGTCGCCTTGTTGGTGCATGGGCTGCTTGCTGCTCTACGGACACTTCGGTCACACACCGACGCTGCCCCGCCTCACACATGATCAGCACCTGGTGTTTGTCGGCAGAAAGACGCAGCATCTACTACAATAGCAGGGTAAATCAGTATCCGAGTATTGCATGATGCAACCAGCCATCCCGGGTTGATGACGCTCTCGTTACAAGTATCCGATACGTGCTGGCTACAAGTTCTGGTTTACCTTGACCACGTTTTCGTCTGAAATACTTCGTGGATTTTGTTCTTGGATTTTTGTCTCGTTTTCAACTCTCTTGGGCCCTCGCTGTCTGTCACCAGGTCCTCGGCAGTGTCCCGATCAGCGGTGAACTCCAGGCAAACACAGCGGAGAACCAGCGCCCTGTGCATGGAAGGCCAAGCAACTGTAAGTATGCCCGCCAAGACCGGGTTACTGCTGTATCGCGAGAAGTCTTTTTTGCAGTGTTTTTTCGAGAAAGGAGAGAGCAATGCACGAGACTGAGCAGGGAAAAATAGCGGGGCGATAAAGACAGAAGTTTGTGGCACGGAGCAGCTTGGCGAAGACGGTAGCTGAATGCTGGAGTACTGTGGCCTAAGCATGCGACAAGTCATACAGACAAAATAGGGAGTTTGTTTGAGCAACATTGGGCGAAGTAGGGTTAAGCTATTAGCCATCGTCGATCGGTCCCGTGGAGACAACGCTCCGTCCCCGCAAAGCCACGTAGTCAACGGCCTACCAGCTAAGGCATCCAAAACAGGAGGATCTACCCCCCTAAGACCGACATGCGAGTGCCTCTTGCTCTCTGCCGTCTGAACATGGAAATGGAAGTTTCGCTCCCATTGGCACGACTAATGATTTCAAACTAACATAGTTGATGTCGGGTGGTACGTACCGTCATTGTTCCTACGTCGCTGTGTGCATCGCCCTCTCTATCCTCCGGGTTCGTGTACTCGTTCTCTTTGCTCCGGTATCAACATGGCATCGTCGCGCACCCCTGTCAGCCTCCGGTGTTATGGGTGGCGACTCGACATGCCGCCTGTTGACGCCTAGAGACCTGTACTTACTGGCTTGTTGTGTGTTGCGTTGTCTTTTTCTTTCAGTACCTGGACGACCCGATGCTGGTGCCCCTTGAGGACGACGACTACGTGGCCTTCGGCCTCGCCTGTTGCTTCGTCATGAACGACAACCTCAAGCTCGACGGTGAGCCCCACAGCTGAGAGTTTGAACCTCGTGTCTTGGTCTGCCTCCCTCCACGTACTCAAGTCTGTGCCACATCTGGAAGCATTGGGGAGGGCGAACCGGTGACCAGGACCGGTGTTTCCCCCATCGTGGCTTTCGTACACCGTTTCATGCACGAGTTTGTGCTGAATATTTGGCTTTTTGGCAGTGTTTGCAACTTCCAGGACACCAGTTTTTCTAATCAGCAAGGTGCCCGGCAAAGAATGTTAATAAATTACCAAAGGGGGGTACGGTAACTCCCCCGCTGTCAGGACAACTTTTTTGAAGAAATCTACCATTCGCTGCCATCCAACGGAAATCCGAAGCAGAGTACTACGTGTACGAGCCGCTCACCGCGGCTACCCTGGAGACCATCGCGAGCTCGCAGAGCCTGGAGACGTCGTACAAGCGTGTGACGGCCTTCCGCGCGAAGGACATCTTCGAGGGACCCCCATCCAGGCCCACGGGCATTCAGGTCGACAAGCTCAAGATCCTCGATGGGGATGTCACAGCACATGTGAGGGAAAAGAGAAGTCATGCCGGAGATTTGTACATCCCTCTTCGTTGTGAGAGTGTGTTTTCTTTCTCTCAGCGTCGACCGTGCTATCCGCTTTACGAATGAAAAGGCGCTAGTCGCAGTGCGGCTGAAACAAAAATTGCTTCCGAAGGTCATGATCTGGGACTCCGTCAGGGGGTGCCGTCTTGCATGTAATATTGTTCGTATCTTATTTTCTTGTGTCTCATCACCAAGCTTCTGTGTTCAGCCGGATAGCTCCGTCGATACTAAGAGGAAACACACATTCACAACGAACGTTTTCTTTGGGGGGGGCGGGGGGCGGGGGGGATCGTGCCGGGAACCAATAAGGCGGAAGAACGCGGAAACTAGGTCCAACTTAGCTCCTCATTCACCCCGTTCCCGCCTGGTAATATCCAGGGGAAGATGAGCGTACATCAGACGGCCTTGGGACGCAGAAAAAGGGGTAGGTACTGGGTGAAGTTTGAGGTCCACCGGGAGAAAGCACATGATAAAGAACGGAGAAGTGTACGGCGTTACATGATAATTGTACATTACTATCATGGTATAGAACAAGGCGGCATTTTTCAACGCAGCTCATCTCTCTCTCCCTCTCTCCCTCTCTCCCTCTGTTGTAACCGCCGCGCTCTGCTTCGTCGTCGACGTCACTTCTGCCAGATCTGCGAGAACCCGGTGGAGAGGACCCTCGCGGCGGCACGCACGTACAAGAGGCGGGTTGAGGCACAGGTAGGAATTTCAGAGTATAACATTTGCTGTGCCCCGTTTTCCTCGCCTTGTCGATAGTATCAACCCCGGCTCCCCGATTCCCGTTCGGTGCATTCCCGCCACTGGAACTGCCGTAATCCGATGGGTCTGTGCATTGAACATGTTTCACCGTGGAACCTTGGCCGCATCGACAGTTTCGAGAGTTGACGTAGAGCACTCCTTTACCAATTCCACCTTGGGCAATAATCGCACAACTCAATTCGAAAAAGCCCAAGCGTAGGGCGGGTCTGGACACATCCAACCCCATGGCTCAACAAGCTTTCCAACGAGCAATCGTTGACAAATTCGACAAACATGGTCCGAAAAGAGGCAGTGATTGGTATCCGTGTGCTGTGCCCAACGTCCCGGCAGATGTGCGGCTACGGTGACCTGCTCGAGGGTTTCAACTTCAGCACCGAGCGCAAGCGGATCCTCAACCACAAGTTCGAGCCCAGCTTCGACGACAACGTCAAGCAGGTATATCTGATATGAGGGGTGCTCCACCCGCTCCCGTACGGGGGGGGCGTCTCGCATTATACTCGTCGATAAATATATGATACATACGTCAGGGTACTCTTCGAGGGGACGGCGCAGACTTGGGACAAGCAGTGAACGGAAATTTTGGACTGGAATTTGTCTGTTGGGTGAACGTTACATGGGGCGGGGGGCGTGCTACCTGTACTCCGAACGTTGACACACACAACATGCGTAGTTACGTCGCACGGTGCATGAGTTTTTCTTGTCGCAAAGAAGTGCCGCACACTTTTTGCGTTCGGAATGATGGGTCGGCTATTTGGTTAAAACTGCGCCGACACCACCATGGCAATCGTTCTTGTGCCCTCTTTTTCCATCACTCGGTTTCGAAGCGCCGCCTACGGTGTGCAAGCAGCCTCCGCCGCGAAGGAGTACTTGGCAGTGACATTCAAGCGCTTCTGCTCATGTCTGGTATTTGCATGCAAGGATATATATCTAAGTTCCCGTCCACAAGTTACTCCTTGGCGCAAGAAAGATGTTGACTTGGAACTTGCGCATACCGAAGGGGGTGTACTGTAGCCGCCCAAAGAACCTGTGCAACTACTTTTATGTATAGGAACCCAAGTACGACGCGAACCTGACGCATGCCACACCTCCCCCGACCCCGGCCTCTTCTCTCAATAACGCCAGGACAAGAGCATTGACGTCTACGGGCGCGAAGAAGAGGAAGCCAAGCAGATCGCGGACCTCGAGAACATCTAAAGGGGATGGCCGGAGAATGCACCTTCGCAAATCTTGGGAGTAAATTTTGGTGCTGGGATCGGAGAATTTTAATATTTCCCGGAGGGGGCCAAGTGTGTCTTGAACTGGAAACCCGTGTTTCAGTTGGAAAGTACCACGTTAGACCGTAGACCTTTTTTTTTCTCACCAACACTGCACAACGTCCCGGACGGGGGGGGGGGGGGGGGGGGGGGGGGGG